ATCAATATGTTGGGAAGCAAGAACCCAGGACTTTGTAAAGATTATATACACTTATGAACATAATCATAGTTATTGTGGCAGGTGCGTGGAATAATGGGGAACACACTATGTCAAAAACATTGATAGAATCTAGAAATACTCCATGGACTTGGGGTCTAATGTATTTTTGGGTAAGTCCAAGATGGAGTGAGACTTCTAAGCAGCTATGTATATGACCAGGTCCTATACTGGCCCAAAATAAAGCGCCAGGGAAATCTTACTTGAGTTCTATAGATCTACAGATTTCTCCTAGGTACAGGCAATTGGGAGAGATATGACACATTAGCTGTTCACAATAGATTGTGGCACCATTGTCCAACTCCCATGAGAATCAGCGCTACATAACATTTGGCAAACAAAATATTTTAAATTCCAGAGTCTAATCCTTAATGAAAAAAAAAAAAAACCCAAAAAACAAAACAAACCCACATTTTTCTGTGGTCTGAAAACCAAATGAGCTATTATACAATAATTACTATAAAGTATACTGAGTTTTTTTTATCTGTAATGAACACCTGGATTTCATTAGTATCAGTGGAAGAAAGAATTAGCAATTAACCAAAGAAACATTAAATAAGAAAAGATGGCAGAAGTTCTTTAAAAGATAGCTTCTATTGGTCTGGTTTAAGCTAATGTTCACTAACAAAATAATTTCTTACAGTTATAGTTTAAATGAAAATGAACCAAAATGAACTAATTTATTTAGACAGACTCCACCTTCTTTATCACGATGGTGTAATTTATGACTAGTTGCCTCTGGATTAGTGGTTACTTGTCTGGGGCTTATTTCCTTTATACACTGTCTCAAAAATAGAGATTTCCTAAACCAGCATTAGAAAGCTCTTGAGATGGTTGCAGAGATTAACTGTAATTTTGGCCAGAGTCTAATCTTGTCTGAATTTGGCTCAGTAATAGGACAACAGCTGTGTTTATAAGAAAGATCAAAGTTTTGTGTTTAACCACCATTAGAAGCAAAGATACCAGCAGCATTTATTGTCTTTTACTATAAAGAAAGGAAACAGGCATTCTATTCAATCTAGCACTAAAAATGCAGTTGGTAGAAATGCTTATTTCATACATCCTTAAATCTATTGGATTACTCGAAGTGTTCGCAAAGACTGAGAAACCTGGTGGCCTCTCCTTTTACTTACCATTGTTCATATGGATTTTATAAGCTTACATAAGTGCTACAAGTTCCAAGGTAAGAGTATTCTGTTAAAAATTAGTTGAGAAGGCAAATAGCAATATAACAAACACATAATTTAAACAGAAACAAGCCAATTCAAAGAAATTTCCAGGCAAACGTAACTTGATCCTACATAGAGGCAACAATTGTTTTTACTAAGGTAGTTCAAAGAACAGCTGAAAAAGTCAGAAAGGAGATTCGGTGCTTTTGATTTCCCATGAAGTCTGTATCCATGCATGCAAAAGAAATTGGTTATGTTGCATCTGAGTAATGGATATGTCATCAAATGCATATTTGTTTTTCCTTTTGTGAAATGAGATCTTCAAAGCTGATATCTTAATTATTTTGTTGTGTTACTGTGCTTAGTTAACAAATGGTTGCTATAAATTAAAGTCATGTTAATAACAACAAAACTTCTACCTATGTTTTAAAAGGCATATTTCTTTAAATGTATAATTAGAAACGAATGTTAGCTGTTTTGAAATTTTTTCCCAATGCCTGTTAAAATAAATGTTTTTGAATCAGCAAGGTGTTAGATTAAAGAAACAGAGTGTTCTCTCCTGTCCCTGTTACTGAGCACACCGACAGCTTGATAAAGATCTATTGGAACAGAATGTTGCTTCTGAGGACTTGACTATGCTCTCATGAGGAATATGTGGAAATGGACCATCATAATGGTGATTTTACTTTGCACATTTTATTTGACTCAAAACTGAGGCTATTATTGGTATCATATAAAGTTGAGTTGAGTTTAACTTTCTGAGCTACAGAAAAACATGGGGAATAATCTGGAGCAAATACTTGTTTGCTCCTCAGAAATCAGTCTTGGGCACAATACTTTCTCATAACTTTCCCAATCAGCATTTCTGGGATAATATCAGATTTTGGACAATTACAAAAAACCAGACACAAATGTGCAAACCAGATTTCAATTTCTTCTTCACTGACATGAGATTTAAAACAGCAACAGAAACATTTCTAGGTCAGTGTCAATATGCAGTCACAAATTACCAAAGAAACAAATTGGAGTGCATGGGTGTGTGATTTTGTGTTTTGGCATGGGAGAGACATTGAAATATTCACAGTGTACAAGCCAAATCATAAAAATAAAATGGGACTTATGATCCCATCATTTTGAAAGAGTAGGATTTGGTTCTGACATCTTGCAGATTTGTGATATCCTGACTTTTGCTTCAACAATCCTAAATAATACGAGTTTTAGAACATAACTTTTTTTTCCTTTCCACAATGTTTGTAAGTGAAGCAATCCTCAGATAAACTTATTTTCAACAGAAGAAAAACCCTCTTAGCCATACACAAACACAGAAAAACTAAAACTAACTGGGATACATACACATACACAAAAGCAGAACTCATGTTATTTATCAGGGATTAGAAGTTATGACCAATGAAAACTCCCCATTAAACACTGCCTCCTGTGTTAGTCTAATTTAGTTTACTAAGAACAAAGTTTTTTAAAGAAAGAGTATCATTACACCATTTAAAGTAATTGAACACAGTCAAGTTTAACAAATGCTTACTCAGGATAACATGAATACTGCTCCTGAAGCTAAGAGGTAAAAATATTCCTCTCATTTCTTGAGACTTTAGTGTCATCATAGTCATCATATTAATTTACAAGTGAAACAACCATTTTGTCTTCTTAAGGATAACACTTTCTGCCTCTCCTTGGCAGGAATCCATAAATTTGGTACTTATACAAGCACCATGGGTTATCTTTTCCCAGGACAGTGGTCTTACTGGGTTAATTTCTTCAGATAACTTATATTTGGATAAGTTCTCATTCCAAAGAACCCATTTCCTAAACACCCCTACCTTTTCACTCTTCAACCTTAATCATAACCCACCCAATTCCTAAGTCAACTTTCCTAAGTATAAGACAATTTTCAAATACACTGGCTCAATCTGTCATCCCAATATGCATTCCTTATTTTTGGGACACATCCTGAAATGATCAATCTTGACAAATTCTTTTATCTCTCCTGATGCTTTTACAGTTTTCTGTCCCATCACAATCACAGAGATTGTTAAAAGGAAGTATGTCCAAATTCCCTGCCCTTTGCCTTTTTGAGTTCCGATCTGCTTATGAAGGGGTAAAGGAAACTATTTCTTGTATTTGGTAATAATATTTTATTGTATCAAATAAACTAACTTGGAAATTGCTTATGCTATTCAATCTTTTCATCTTACTTTAATCATGTTTAACAGTTTATACCAAATATCTACATGATTACAAAATTTCATTGCACTAAAAAAAATTACCTGCAACATTTCTCTTAAAGCTCATTTTCTTGATTCTATAAGATACATATTATTAGACATCTTATGAATAAAACACTTGATTAAAAAACATTCATTGGCATTCTTAATTAAAAATAACACGAAATTCCTCAAAATTAGGAAATGTACACCTCTGAAATAAATTAATAATACCTACAAATCCCTGAACTGTGAGGCAGATATTTTAGGTGTTTTTATTCACAGTAATTTAAGCCTCACGATAACTCCATGAGACAGTGATTCCTATTTTCATTTTATGTGAGGAAATGCAGTTGCAGAGGGCATTAATCCGCAAGGACACAGAGTTTGTAGGAACTAATTTTCCTCTATACTTGGCTGACAAACAGAACCATAATCTTTTACTCTTCTGAACACATCATGATGTGTCACAGAAACACTATATGGCTGCCCTGCATAATGCTAACTTCAATGGTCTTGAGAGGGAATACAGTTCTATTGCCACTAGGTGCCATCTCAAAAATATTTCAGTTTCTTGGTAAAAATGGTAAAGATTCATAAAAGGCAAAGGCTGTCGAGATTAAATTATAATTCATTTTCAAGGTAAGCTTTATCCCATACACCATAAAGAACTTCTAAAAATATTGAGATGTCGAGTCAAAAGAAATTGGCAGGGGCACCTGGGTGGCTCAGTTGGTTAAGCATCTGCCTTTGGATTGGGTCATGATCCTAGGGTTCTGGGATCGAGCTCTATGTCAGGCTCTCTGCTCAGCAGGGAGTCTGCTTCTCCCCCTCCCTCTGCTGCTCTGCCTACTTGTGCTCTCCCTGTCAAATAAATACATAAAATAAAAAGATTTAAAAATAAAGCAAAAACAAAAGAAATTGGCATATAGTAAACAGGGTTGAGTAAATCAGTCACATTTCTAAGAAACTGAAAATCAATTTTTTAAAAAAGTTTTTATTTATTTATTTGTCAGAGAGAGCATGAGCAGGGGGAGTGGCAGGCAGAAGGAGAAGCAGGCTCCCTGCTGAGCATGGAGTCCTGTGTGGGACTCAATCTCAGGACCCTAGAATCATGACCTGAGCAGAAGGCAGATCATTAACTGACTGAGCCACCCAGGCATCCCTAAAAATCATTCTTTATATTAAATTGAATAATAATCACTTATAATTACTAAGGAAGTTGTATGACACTTACACATACAGAATGCTAACAAAAATGGATATACCCACACATATACACTGAACCACTTCCAGAGTAACATTGAAAGGAAAGACCTTTTCTTACTTTTGTAAATGTCTGTGTCTCTGAGAATTAGGAAAACAGCATATATTTGAAGTATAGAGGACATGATATACTTTGGGTAATCCTGTGATAAAATCACAAATATATATGTTTCCCTAGTTATCTCTTTTCTAGAGCTGCTGAGTTAATTATAGTCTCAAAAGATGATTTAAAAAAATGTGTATGTGTTATGTATGTATATATACACACATAAAGAACAGAGTAGGCAAATGATTTTTCAAACCATTAATATTTTATTTAACAGAAACAACAATTGGGACACTTCTAGAGTTTACAGTGTATTTGTTACAAAAATAAGAAATTCTCCAAAATATGTATTAAAAATACAAAGTTTATGGATCTAAGGTACACAGAAAATTTGTTTTACATTTCAGTCACCCAAAACAACAGCTTGTGGTCTCCTCCAATTGCACACAGTGGGAGAGTTCTATGCCAGGAAAGGCCAGATCCGACGGCTACAGAACCAATGAGGACAGGCTACAAAATATGTGAAGAATTTAAGAAACTTATTAAATCACCAAAGTTAATAAAGTAAAAACTACCCCTCAAAAATAGGAAATGCATTGATAAACTGTCTTTAGTTAACATAAAGGAAACAGAATTAAAAATATGCTCCTTCATAGGTGAAATACACATTATTTGCTTGTAGCTGGCTAGAATGAAGGATACAAATAATCTAAGAATAACTGCTTTAGCTTAGACTTAAACATTTTTGTAGCCTAAACCACCAAAAATGCTTTCTCTTTCCAATTTAAGCAGATAAGACATTCACAAATGTCTTCAGTTACACATTACAAATTTGGGGGCTATGATTAAAAAAAGTAGAAAACATGAATTTAAAAACACATATACCACAAACCAACTCCAAATTACCTGAGGGTGTCCTAAATGATGAATTTGAAACTGGCTTGCAATTTTGCCAGGATAACCAGTGGTTGCAAACAAGTTCTCATTAATTGTGGACCACCTAAGAAAAGACAAAAACACTCATAGTACCCTAGAGATAACTATGAACTTTTCTAAAACTATTTTTTTTAAAGATTTTATTTATTTATTTGACAGAGATCACAAGTAGGCAGAGAGGCAGGCAGAGAGTGAGGAAGGGAAGCAGACTCCCTGCTGAGCAGAGACCCCCCCCAACCAATGTGGGGTTATCCCAGGATCCTGGGACCATGATCTGAGCCAAAAACAGAGGTTTTAACCCACTGAGCCACCCAGACACCCCTCTAAAACCATTTCCTTTTGCACAAACCCAATAATTTTATAAGTTTAAATTGTTAATACAATTTTATAATTTGACTGGAAATTTCTGCTAAGTTGGCTATAAATATTTTCTCATTTTGTGAATATTAAATGCTTACCATGTGCCACTTGGTTAAGTTCCAAAGTTACACAAAGTTAGCAGTTCCTTTCTTAAAACCAAAGGAGACAGTGTGGTGGGGATATAAACAAGGCATCAGATAAAGTATTTCACAGTGCAATACATTAAAAAATTAATATCCTTATTGACATTTGCTAGAAAAATTAGTTAAAAATTCATGTATTTAAACACCTAGAATATTTATATATCTGATTACTTAAGTTTCAAGATATCCTAGACATTGAAATATAGTAAGTTAATGAATCAAAAAGTGTTAATATAGCTCCAGCAACATGTCTAGCAGTATAAGTGGAGTGGGGAAGATACATGAAAAAAGAAAGGATTTGTTGACCAAAAAAAAAAAAAAAAGCTAAAGTCTAATTAATATTTTTATTTGGGCAGACATTACTAGTTGCTGTCCAATAGCCTTTCTGCCCTTCTTCCATGCTAACTGAATCCCAACTACATTCCAACAGTGTGACTGACCAGAAGGGGATGATATGTACTGATAGCAATCCCTAATAAAAGAGGATTGCTCCTTCTTTTCCTCTTTGGACAAGCTTATATGCGGCTATGACGCCTGGAACTCTGGTAGTCATCTTGTGATTGTGAAGCAACAAGACGGAAGCTGCCACTGGGGACACAGAGGGAAAGGGCTGAACTCCTGTTGGCACTGATGAGCTACTGAGCCAGTCCTGAGACTGCCTCCTTCAGAAGCCATCACGTCTCTGTTATGTGCTCAAATTTTTTAAATCGGAGTGCATCTTACAATCTATGGCATCTTACATTTTAATGAATATATATATTTTTAATGTGTACAAAAAATGATGTTGTCCCCAAGTCCTATAATTTTATTGGGGGTATTTTAGATTTGATGAAATACAGCATATAAGAAATACACTACTTGTTTTAGTCTTGGTTAGAAAGGTTTCATGTTACTTCAAGTTAAAAGCACCCTAATGACTACATTGTACAATGAAATACTAGGCAAAGGTCAATGAGAAAGAACAAGGTAGACATGTATATTAATTTTAGTAGGAAAAAAGTCACAGATACATAATACAGTGTGTTCTCATTTAAAGCACAACAATGACATTTATATGTATAAACGTGGGCCCACCTGCATTTTACAACTTCATCAAAACAAAATATAAGGAAGCATATACTCCAGATTGTTGGAGTGGTATTTGTTGAATGGTAATGTGTTTTGTATTTTATAAAATTCTTCAAAGAAAATACTGGAAAGTGAATCACTCCCTTACCCAGACCAAAAGACAAAAGCAAAAGACTTAGTTAGGAAAGCAAAACAACCATTTATAAAACAATCAGAAAACAAACGCCAAAATATCCCCAACACCTCAGTGCAAAGGAGAGGATTGGGAAAGTATGGTGACATAGCATGTGACAAAGTAACCAAATTAAAAAAAATTAAATATAACTTGAACAAAAATGTTACATTACCTGAATAAGCAGGCTTGATCCATGTGGACAGGTCTCTTATCTTGAGGATAACTGAAAGGTAACATAATGTATTTTATGAATTTGTGTGCTGGTCTCAAATAGAGGAAATTAAATTAAGGTTTTAATGGCATTTTCTCTTTAAAGGACACAAGGCCCAATGTACTTAAACTGTCACAAAATTCTAAATAAGCATTGGATTAGCATAGATGAAATACAGAGATAGAGACATAGAGACAGACATGATTTAGAACTGTTACAGAACACCATCATTCAAGTCAATGTTTTTCTTCTTCCTTTTTTTAATGTAAATAAACATTGCTCAACGATTTTTTTCTTTGTGTTGTTCTTCCTGGGTTACTCTCAAAGTAAATCTGCAAAGCATGGGCATCTCTCTCTCTTATGTAAAAACCCATAGCTCTGGTCCTTTTGCAAGATAGACTTGTTTCTGCTCTATAGTGAGGCTCAGGTATACAAGAATGGCTCCATGAATCAGTCAGCAATAGTGACTGACTTTTTGGGTATGCAACAGACAGCTGTTAAGGAAGTACCTGGATCGAGTAATATCCCAAATTAACCAATCATTTCCTGCAACAGCTCCAACTTTGAAGGTATTTTTTAAGCACCAATGGGCTGACATTAATGGCATCTGTTCTGATTCAAGAGATAAAATAGCCTGTTGAGTCAAAAGATCATAAAACCGGATTGTTCCATTCTTCTCTGCAACCATCAGCTGTAAGACAGGACAGAAAAAATTCACCTAATTCACTAGCCAAATCTGAGGCAGAAATTCAATATTACATATAATATGTAAACATCAGCATATATTACAAATGGGACATCAAGTGCAAATGAAATAGGAGAGGCCTATGTAAAAATCTCTGTCAAATATTAAAAAACTCAGAGAAAACTGGTGAAAGAAAGACCCAGGAAAGTTGAGTACAATTTTAAATGATGATGTATGGTTACTAGGAAAAAGTAAGTCCAAAGAATCATTCTGGGGAAAGTTACAGCTTTAAGTTATGTTGTCTAGAAAGGATAGCTAAGTGTGTATTTCTCAACAGAGCTATATTATGTGTTACACATCCTTATGTGATGTGAGATTGTTTCCAGAACGGAAGGAAGCATGGCGTTAGGAGCACAGACTGACCAGGGGAGCAACGCTGCTTCCTTCACTTAAAAGCTAAATGGTCAAATTACAATCTTCGATTGGCAGCTTTCTCCTTTCTAAAATGTGTATGTGAGGATAAGAATAGCTACAGCATTGTTGTGGTGATTAAATGAGTATTATAGGGGGATGCCTGGGTGAGCATGTGACTCTTGATCTCGGGGTTGTGAGTTCAAGCCCCATAAGTTAGGTTTAGAGATCATCACTTAAAAAAAATAAAATCTTAAAAAAGTAATACATGTAAAGCACCCAGTACTATGCTTGTCACAAAGTAGCCACTCACTCAGTAAACAGTACTCTTCAATATTTCCTTTATTCTAAAATACTAATGATTTAAGATGTTGAATAATGAACTTGTCTGCTTCCTTCCTTCCCTGATCCCTCTCTTCTTCCTTCCCTTCCTATCTAAGAAATATATTTTTTTTAAGATTTTATTTATTTATTTGACAGATGACAAGTAGTCAGAGAGGCAGGCAGAGTGAGAGAGGAGGAAGGAGGCTCCCTGTTGAGCTTAGAGCCCGATGCGGGGCTCGATCCCAGGACCCTGGGATCATGACCTGAGCTGAAGACAGAGGCTTAACCCACTGAGCCACCCAGGCACCCCTCTAAGAAATATTTTATCAATGTAAAAATAATTATAAGATAAATTTCCATTTTATAAAATATTAACATGTGAAAAAATTCATTCCTTAGACTCAAAGAAGCAAGGCATTAGGATACCTATTTGTGGGAGTTAAGGTAAAGAGATTGCTATGAATAGATATGTAGCTGTTGCCCAAATAAAATAGCTTAAAGACTCCCTACATTTTCTGTAAAGTTCTTACTTTTACAGCATGTTCTTGTAATTCTGATTATATTACAGTGCAAACATTCCTGAAGGTGTGAAGTACCAGTGGTGGCCTGGAAAGAATGAGAGACTTAGTGTCAATAACCCCAGTTTCTACTAATCTTTTGAGTGACCTAGAGTTTGCTTTTTTCCTATCTGTGAAACGCGGGATAATTACACCAGCCTCAAGATGTTTCCATACAGCTATAATGTGATACTGTACATTAACAGTATTTTCCTAAACCCATAAAACACCATTAAAGTATTGTTACTACTTCTAGTAAGACAGATCATGTCTGGCATGGGACTACAGGCAGTCATTCTATTATTCATCATCTAAGAGACCTTTACCGAGCATCTACCTCCACCTTCCCCCACTGCCCACACACAGAGTTGAGTCTTATTATTCATGGTTGGTAGAGCCTATTAAGTTGCTATGAACGAGGAATTGGTGAATACTGAACATTGATCCTAGGGGAAATAAAGTGTTTGGTTCTTGTGAGTCTCTGGGCATATCATTTTTTGTCAACTGACCAATGCATAATCTGGTTTTATGTATGTTTCAAGATACCATATTTCATATATACTGATTCATTAACATAGTGAGAACTCAGAGCCGTGGTGCCCAGGTGGTACAGTAAGTTAAGTGCCTGACTCTTGGTTTTGGCTCAGGTCTGATCTCAGGTTCTTGAGATCAAGCACTGCATCAGGCTCTGCACTCAGTGTGGACTGTGCTTGAGTTCCTCTTTTTCCCTATGACCCTCCCTGCCCTCTCTAAAATACAATGAACAAATCTTAAATAAAACAAAACAAAACCCAAAACCCAAACCTCACAGTCAACAGCACTATAGCTCATGCTTGAATAAAGCTTATCTAACACCATACTATTTTCTCCATAAAGCACATCACTGCCTTCTGGCACTTAGGAACCCTAGACTGCACTTTAGCACTTATGCTTTATGCTTGGGGGACCATTTTACATGGTGAAATCACTAACAAAAAGCACAAAAATGTGCACAAAAATAGACCACAAATAGGACACTTCTTTAGAGTATGAGAGCTAAAACAAGAAGGCAGAGCGCTGGCCTCATTCAGCCTTAGCTGGAAATGTGCACATTAGTCGACTCAAATTTCTTATTGCTCTGAGCATGTTGCAACTGTGAAATGCCATGAGTACTGATTTTGGGGTTATAAATAAATTTCAGTGAGTAGATGAACTTGCAGATACAGAATCTGTGAATAATGAAGATGAATTATATACAATACATAGTATTTATGCAAAATACTATGCTAATTTCAACAGAAGTCAAAAGTAAAAGATGATCTTTGATATAAAGAAATTTCCCATCTAGAGAAGAAAATTAGGGGAAAAAAACTGACCATAGAATATAAATAGAATATGGGTAGTCTTTCCAATTATGGGATTCTTAATAGAAAAGGTAGAATTTAAAACTATTCTCTAATAGGCAGAATGTTAAAATAATACTAATTCTACTACCAACAACATCAGGTCAGTGACTTATACAACAAAAATAAATGCAACACTGAGCTTTATATGCCCTGCCTTACTGAATCCTCATAACCACTGTATGAAAAAATTACTGTCATTAATCCCATTTTTCAGAAGAGGAGACTGAGGCACAGAGTGACAAAGGTAACTTGTTGAAGTCTCACTGCTAGTCTGTGGCAGAGCCTGCAACTGCACTCATCAATAAAACTGGAGCTAATAACAGTACCTATTTCATAGTATGGTATGAGTTAATATATGTAAAGCACTTAGAACAGTCTTAGCACGGAACAGGCTCAAAAAAAAAAACAACATTTGTTATTATTATAGGTTGAAGTCAGATTGAAAACTCAGTTCTTAGTTATTTATCTTTTTTAAACTGTGCTCAATTGTAATGATAGATTTTTTTTATTTTTTATTTTTTTGGTTGAAAGGAGATAGAGTAAAAAAGTTAAGTAAGTTTGAGAACTGCTAGAGCTAAAAAATTTACAGGGGAACTTTTCCTTTAGGACTTCTCAGAACTATAAACAGAGTATGCACTGAATTTTCAGAGGGAATATATCTTTTGTAGCACAGAACACTAGTACTTGAATCAGAGTAAGCTCAAATCTTTGACTGTGTGGCCCTGGACAAATGACTTAGTAACTTTTCGGTGTTTCAGGTTTTCTTATCTATAAAATGGACAGAAAAATGTTACCAACCACAGAGTGTTTTGAGAGAATTACATTAGAACACATGTAAAATACTCAGCATAGTTCCTGGCACTCAGACAGCATTCAACAAGTGTTCGTTATTATACCCCATTTGATTTAGCAGCAATCCACTCCCTTAGAGTCAGAGACTCAGATCTGATTCCATGACATCCTCAACTCTTGGTTCTATTATTACTACCTGGTAAAATCCTAGTTCCAACTGTGGTCAATTAGATTTAAGATCTTAATTTCTTGGGGTGCCAGTGTTATCAGTTGGTTATGCGGCTGCCGTTGGCTGAGGTCATGATCCCAGGGTCCTGGGATTGAGTCCCATATCAGGCTCCCAACTCAGGTGGGAGCTTGTTCCTCTGCCTGTTCTCCCTGCTCACTCACTCTATCTTTCTCTCTCTGACAAATAAGTAAATAAAATCCTCAAAAAAAGAAGTAAATTCTCGAGATCTTTTGACTTTGTATCTTTTATTAACTATCAAATGCTAGTATTTGCTTTTTGCTTTCCAGATTATGTGTGTAGTTCACACCTCATATGATTTTCATTAGAATTCTATGAGACAGATAGTCATGGACCCATCTCTCTCTTCTCTAGCTGCCTCATTTTTATCCAGGCTAAGCAAAATAGAACAAAAATTCTTGGCTTGACTGGATACATCAGATTACAGAGAGCCACCAGATCGGTTAGTAGTAATAAGTGTTAATAATGACAAGAAACTAAAATTGATCAAGTGCTTATTATGTGCTAGGTTCTCTTTAAGGACGTTTAAGAGTTCACTCACTTAGTCTTCATGAGTTTCCATTTTACAAGAAGAAGAGGTAAAGGCAGTGATTGAGAGAGCTTTTGCAACTTGCCTGAAAACACATAGCTTGTAAGAGGTGGATCTGCGACATGACTCCAGACAGTTATCTCAAGAGGCCATACTTTTTTTTTTTTTAATATGTTTACTTATTTATTTGAGAGAGACACAGTGAGAGAGAGAGGACACAAGTAGGGGGAGTGGGAGAGGGAGAAGCAGGCTTCCCACTGAGCCCGATGTGGGGCTCGATCCCAGGACCCCAGAATCATGACCTGAGCCAAAGGCAGATGCTTAATGACTGAGCCACCGAGACACCCCAAGAGGCCATACTCTTAATCACTTCTGTGTTGCCTTTCTGTATTTTAGGTTTTTCATGATGAAACCGGTATTTTAACGTTAGTTTAACTAAAGTATGCAAGAAAAATCCAAGAGTGGAGAGCCAAAACTTTTGAAATAGGTAAGCCCTGGCAGGAGTTACTTGTGGGAACAGAAAGGTGAAGAATGCCCCTTAATGACAAAGAAATGTGTTCTAGTAATATGTTCCTAAGGAAGGAAAAGTTAAAAACCTGGAAAAGTTTGCATACATGGAGTGAAGACATCAAAAGAGATTTCAGGATTTTGAGTGTATGTGACCTACAGCATGGACTTCTAAACATTCTGAAGTCATGGAAACAATAAAAAAGGGAGGTGGGGTGGGATGGAGTTTTAATGATAGAAGAAAAACAGAAATTAACTTAAAGCATATGGAGGAAAGGGATCTGAATCACAAGCATTAAGATTCAAGTTTTGGTATAGAAGTTGTAAGAAAAGTTCTCATTTCTCATCTAGGTCACAGATTTTAAAAAGCAGCCCATTTGGATGTCAAATACATAAAGACAAAGAGCAGGTTAATGGCTGCTGGTGGTGGTGGGCAGAGCTCGGTATAGGTTTTCTTTCGGAGTTCATGAAAATATTCTAAAATTAAATACTAGTACTGTTTGCACTCTGAATATACTATAAAATACTGAACTGTAGACTTTAAAAGGGTGGATTTATAGCATATTACCTATATCTCAATAAAGTCATTAGAAAAAGAAACAAAAAAAAAAAGTAGCTTATCTGGGGTATTTGGGTGGTTCAGTCAGTTAAGCTTCCAATTCTAGATTTTAGCTCAGGTCATGATTTCAGGGTTGGGAGACAGCCCCATGTCAGGCTCCAGGCCCAGCATGGATTTTCTCTCTCTGGGGCACCTGGGTGGCTCAGTCAGTTAAGTGTCTGCCTTTGGCTCAGGTCATGATCCTGGAGTCTCAGGATCAAGCCCCAGATTGGTCTCCCTGCTCAGCAGGGAGCCTGCTTTTCTGTCTGACCCTCACCCCTGCTTGTGTTCTCTCTCTCTTAAATAAAATCTTAAAAAAAAAAAAAAAAAAGATTCTCTCTCTCCCTCTCCCACTGCCCTTCCTGCTCTCTCTAGAAAAAGAAAAAGGTAGTCTATTGTATTTATACATGGTGATATTAACATTTGGTTAGAATCCCTGTTATACTTCATGTAGACTCACCGCTACAGGGGGGAAATCTTGCCTAAAATAAAATATAGGACCTGGCTTCAAAAACATTACTTACACATGGAACAATCCCTACATATGTAATATGAATAAATTGGAAAATTTTACTCATGCACATATATAGAGTGTCCAGTTCTACTGAAGATAGATCCAACATGCCTGAAACAAATTTTCATGGTATCCTAAAGTTCAGAAAACATACTTACATAGTCTGGAACATCTCAGCTCAGGATTACCTCCTCTGTGAAGGCTATCAGCAGATCTGATTACTTCTTTCTTAGATAACTGATCTACTTACTAGATTTTTTTTATTCCAACACTTAAAACACTTAAAATCTGTATTGCTGTATTTACAGGTTTTTCTTTCTTATAAGCCCATCATTGTGTAACATAAGGGCAGGTGCTTTATTCATTTTTTTACCCTCTCTTACACCTAAAGGGCACAGTGTTGGTAAAAACTACATCTTCCAACAATTCACGAATACATGTAAAAGAAGTGTTGGCAAAGGAGAAAGAAAAAGGGAAGATATATGCAGAGATGCTCAGGAGGACTAGAATAATGAATCTTTAAAGATCAAGTGAACAGGGTTTCAAGACAGAAGTGACAGAAATGGGTTTTCTGTAAAATGAGGGTCATCATAGCTGCTATCTCATAAGGTTGCCATGAGGATTAAGTGAGCTAATATAAAAAGTTGACAACGGGCCAAGTATATTTAGTATTATATAAGCGTTTGCTATAATTAAATCAAGCTTATCTTTTTGTACAAGTATGAGGACGGAAAAGAGTCTATGGAGAAGCACAAAGACATTAGAAAGCTATAAAAGCAAGATGCCTAGGGAACTGGCATGAGATCTACACAGCTAAAGAATTAACTTTAACAAGATGAATATGGTAACTTCTTTTTTTTTTAAAATTTTTTAAAATTTTAATTTATTTTTTAAATTTCTTTTCAGTGTTCCAGAATTGTTTATGCACCACACCTACTGCGACATGCAATACGTGCCCTCCACAATACCCACCTCCATGGAACACAGTAACTTCTTAGCTTCTAGGGAAAGATCAAATAGAGTGATGCCAAAGAGCAGATACTGGCAGATGAGAGAACTCTTGTTGAATGAGTCCTATCCTCTCAATGAAATAAGAATTAAGGTCAATTGATATTAACTTCTAGTGTACTTTTAGAATTTTAGAAAGCTCTACTCTCAATAGGAGTTGAATACCACTGCAGCCAGCTCAAATTTGTCAGTGATACTTTCTGTTTACGTATTATGGCTTCAAGCATGGATTTCAACTTTTTTTTTTAATGAATACTGCTACTAGATAGACTGGGCATCTGTTTTTAGATTGCAATCTTCCAAAGGGCAGGAAAAATGTACTCCAAAAAATGTCATTTATGGATGATGGTTGTAAAATAAAAACTTAATTATACAGAGATTTTAAGGTTACAGAATTCTACAGTAGTCCGATGCATTTATGACAATTAGAGTCTCTGAGGTGGAAAAAGTAATTGATTTTTCTCCTCTATATATGCATGTATTATACCTGTATATGTCTTCTCAGCTTAATAAAAGAAAACTAAGTTATAAATACCAACCTTAAAAGTTTCCTCAGGATGCCAGCACACACTCATTCCAGGGGAATGAAGAACAAAATGAGCTGTCTGCATTCCTTCCAAGTTCCAAATCCTAATAAAAGAATAGAATACAATGTTAAATATTTTTGCTATATCACTACTAAAATAAAAATGACACTCCCATGAATTAATTCAAAGCTATTAACTAGAGATTATACTATATAGATATTTATACCTAAAGTATATGTTTAAAAAAAACTGAAAGCAGTATGAAGAAGTTTTAACATACTCAGTCATGGAAAAACAATCACATACATTTTCTAATTTAACACTGTAACACAGTAACCAAATTAAACTATTCATATAATCTTTATTTTGTGGGCAGAATCTTGAAGTTTCTAGTTCACTAAATAGGTTGCCTTCCTACTTCAGTAGTCATTTCAATAACAGTTTCTTCCAGGGGTGCTTAGCACCCCCTCCCCCCAATACTCCCATTTTCCAAAATAATGTATAAAGAAGCTAGTATGAGGTGATGTGACGTGAATTTAGGGAGATAATTTCCATACTTGTTTAATTCCTTCTGCTTTTGGCTTTCCATGCCAGGGGCTGCTTCTTATCGTATACCTTCTCTGATCTGGCTCACTTCCCCAATTCTGCTTATTAAAGGTGCCTTGACTGAAAGCCACCAGAGTAAAGGTTGGCTGAAGGAATAGATACCTGGTTCTTCCTACTCTTCTTTTCCTCCTCACACTTACAAATCCATGGTAACAAGGACGATGCTACTCGCTGACATGGCTTTCTATCTCAGTTTCTTTCCCAACCTCATAGCAGAGATCAAGACTTAGAAATCTCAATAATAGCACTTTACTGTGAGAAGTGCTACTCCCCATCCAGACTGCTAGTTGTCCAGCTCATCCTTCACATTCAGCCAGTTATATCTCACAGATATAGGTACAGAGTGTGGCAGGGTTAGCATGGCAGGAGGCAGAAGTGCTGAGTGGTTGGCAAAGTACCCACAGAATTCTGGTCTTTAAGAATTTAAATTAAGAATTAAAACAGCTCATCAAAATGCCTTAGACCTTTTCTTCTAGGGTTTATAGTTTATATCCCATTAGGGACCACAAAATAATTTCAACAAACTTAAGGAATATACATTTGAAGTTTAGGGAAAGATTTACTTCAACAACAATAGACATATGTATTGAACATTGCTGTTATTCTGTGCCAAAGCATATTATTTGAAATTTTTTCTCTCTTGTAGAAATTATAGGATCTTCAGTCATGAAATATTATAGTCACATAGAAACAAACACAAATGTGTTTCAAAATGATTATCTATTTGATTAAATAGTTTAGAAGCATATTCTTTTTCTCTTGCCAAATCAACACTTTTCATCTATATTTACTATACAAGGGAAACAATTATAATTTAATTGAAGAGGGAATCACATTTGCCAATGGTTTGTGCAATTGTGTTTCACTCCCCACAATGAACAAGATTATTAATTATGGCAACTGAATATTTCTTTCTTCTCTGTTGCCTCTTGCATAATAAAGTGCTGGGCTAGCATATATTTTACCACTATTGAAATAGTAGGAATGTCTTGCAAATTCAGTGAGTCTCACGGGGGAATGGTTTAAAGGCTCCATTCTTTTGAACTTTTTCATCATTTTTTTCCTTTCAAATGAAGAAAACCAAAGAGGTAGAAATTATGAATAAGGACATTCTACGAAAATAGGCCAATTAATTAAGTGTATTTTAATTTGGTCCAATGAACCAAATTTTAGTCTAATTTTTAAATAGTATTTTATCCTGACAGAAACTGATGCTTAAAAAAAAAAAAACAAAAACCTGACTTAAAAATGAGGAGGGTGATCCAGATTACTTTATAGGACTAGGATAAAGTGATTTATGGTTTATATTTATGTGCTTATTAAATAATTCTCAGTGGTTGCATAATCTAAGCACTAAGTATGCAAAATACAACAAATTGGGCTGAAATGAGTTATAACTAAATAAGCTACAGATGGTATACTTTAAGTTGTTAAGTCTTATTTCCCTTTTTGATTGATTCCATAATTCTTCTCAAATCCCTTTGTAGAGCTCCACTCATTTTTCTGTCATTACTTCATGGCTCATCTAGTTAATATTAGTTCCATCAGATAAAATCACATTCTTTTATTTTTTGATACTTTTTTTTGCAGTTCACCATACATAGTAAAAACACACAAATCTTAAGCACACAGCTCAGAGAATATAGCACTCAATTAAGAAACAGTATTTCCAGAACTCCAAAAGTCATCCTGGGCTTCCTTCTGATCTTTGCTCTCTCACAAAAAGCACCTACTATCCTGACTTCTCACAAAATTGTGTACTTTTGCCTGGTTTGAACATCATAAAATGGAATCATGTAGTATGTATTTTCTTGGTCTGGCACCTATCACTTATCATTAGATTTTGTGAGATTTACTAACATTGTTGCATGTTATTATACTCTGTTCACTCTTTGCTGTAGATAGTATTCCATTAATTAAATACACTGTAATGTATTTACCTACTGTACTGTTGACACTTAGGCTGTTTCCAGTTTTGGTCATTGTTAATAATGCTGCTGTAAATCTTCTTGTATGTTTCTTAGTGAATATACTCACATCCCCCCACCCCCAACACACAAATACACACACCCCTGCTGGGTATATATACCTACGCACGGAATTGATGGATTATAGCTTACAAATATGTTGAACTCCAGCAGGTATTGTCAAATAGCTTTCTAGACTGGCCATACCTTATTTTTTCCTCTCATACTTCTTTTAATTACCAACGGAAAAAACCTACACTTTCTCTGACAAATTTACGATAAAAACAATCTTAAAACAATCATTTGGCAAAATGTGCAACTTTTCAGTTGGTCTTACTTGTAAGGCAGATTTTTCAAATCTTCCCCTTTTTCTTGCATATTATGTTATTTTCACGTATCCATGTATGGATTAATTTGCACAAATTTTAAGATGTAGTGAATACAATATGTAGTCAAAGCTCTTAACTGACTTCCTTCTCTATAGAATTGACAGGAACAAGGCTATTTTCTAATAGGTTCACATGTACATTTGTTGTAGACTTACAAAGAGGGAAGATGGCTTTTTTTTTTTTTTTTTTTTTTGCTTAGTAAACCATTGTATGGGGTGTAAACCCATGCCTATTTATTAGTATAATTACACAACTAGTATTATGTAAGCTGATAGAATGTGAATGTGAAAGCTATTTCAATGAAACTAAGTTGATGGCAACTAACTAAAGGTAAATTTCTAACTTAAAAATGCTCTTAAATTAGGAAGGTGTGTCAGTTACAAAAGATTAAGCAATCAAAGTAAAAAGTCTAGATATGTTTTCACTATAGACACTACCATGGGTGTGATTCATGCAAAAAAAAAAGTCCAGTGCTAATCATCAAACCCATAAATTATGGAAAAATAGATATCTTAGCTTAAAATCTAAAAATTGGCAATTAGCAATTGATAAATTTTCATCCATATGTTGTGTACTAAAATAAGGTAGGTAGACAATCTCTTAAAATGATTTCCTAAATTAATTCATATTTTTTGAGACTAGATTAGCTTAATTAATTACATTTTAATTCCGATGTAGTTAATATACAGTAATATATTAGTTTCAGGTGTACAATATAGTGATTTAACAGTTCCATATATTACTCAGTGCTCAGCAAGGTAAGTGTACTCTCAATCCCCTTTACCTAGTTCATACATCCCCTGATATATCTCACCTCTAGTAATTATCAGTTTGTTCTCTGTAGTTAAGAGTCTGATTCTTGATTTGTCTCTCTCATTTTTTACCCCCTTGATTTGTTTCTTAAATTCCATGAGTGACATCATATGGTATTCACCTTTCTGACTTACTTCGCTTAGCACTATATTCTCTAGCTCTAAGTACTATATATATATTATATATATTATACATATACACATATACAAACACACACCACACCTTCTTTATCCTTTCATCTATTGATGGACACTTGGCCTGCTTCCATAGTTTGGCTATTATAAATAATGTTTCAGTAAACACGAGGGTGCATGTATCTTTTCACATTAGTGCTTTTGCATTCTTTGGGTAAATACCCAGTAGTGGGATTCCTGGGTTGTAGGACAGTTCTATTTCTAATTTTTTGAGGAACCTCCATACTGTCTTCCACAGTGGCTGCAGCAGTTTGCAGTCCTACTCACAGTGCATGAGGGTTCCTTTTCCCCCACATCCTTGCCAACACTTCTTGTTTCTTGAGTTATTTTAGCCATTCTGAAAGGTGTGAGGTGTTATCTCACTATGGTTTTGATTTACATTTCCTTGATGAGTGATGCTGAGCATCTCATCTTGTGTCTGTGGCCCACCTGTATGTCTTCTCTCAAGAAATGTCTCTTCATGTCTTCTGCCCATTTTTTTTTTTTTTTTTTTTTTTGGTGTTGAGTTGTATAAGTTCTTTATATATTTTGGATACTAACCCTTTATCAGATGTGTCATTTGCAAATATCTTCTCCCATTCAGTAGGTTGTCTTTTAGTTTTGTGGTTGAGTTTACTGACTTTTTGATTATTTAACAAACTGTAGGTCTAGACCATATCAGATGAGAGTTTCTAATGTAACAGAAAACAAATTAATACATTTGAAAATTCATATTAATATTTTCAAATTAATTGCTAATAAATTTGTTTATAATGAGTAAAGCTACTTAAAGTTAGTTACTACCACAGCAGCATACTTTTCAACGAAGAAGTATGTCACAAAAAAAGAAAAGCTGTTAGGATTCATAACCTTCTTTTTTTTTTTTTTAAAGATTTTATTTATTTATTTGACAGAGATCACAAGTAGGCAGAGAGGCAGGCAGAGAGAGAGAGAGAGAAAGCAGGCTCCCCACTGAGCAGAGAGCCTGATGCGGGGCTCGATCCCAGGACCCTGGGATCATGACCTGAGCCGAAGGCAGAGGCTTTAACCCATTGAGCCACCCAGGCGCCCCTCATAACCTTCTTAATAGATGTACTCAAACACATGGAAAGGTAATAGACTATAAAAGTTTAAAAACACAACATTATTAAATTA